AGGACCTGAGGAAGCAAAGGGTCTTACCAAATTGAGTACCAACCTTGATTTGAATATTACTTTTATTATTAGTTATACTTCAGTTGGGTAATCCTACTTCCGTAGTGATACTGCCTCGGAAACCCAAGGAGGGGTCGCTATGAGTCGGGGGCGACTCGACGGCAAATAACAACAACAACAACAATACTTCATTAAGTAGTATTAATTATTTCCTTATTTCCTTCCTGATCATAGACCTAGGGAGATATGGCCTGTTCTTATGCACCATAGGCTTAAGGATATCATCTAGGGGAAGTAAGGAAATTGCTCTTTCCTCTTCTAAAACTCCAACAAAGAAAATTCATTTGACCTCTTGATGAATGCTCAAAAGGATGATTTAAATGGCAAATACAGGGTTCTTCTCTCCAAAACATGTAATGTCTTCTTATGTATTGGCATCAAGTGAACACCAACTCATGATCCTGTAGGACAGAGTAGAATTGCTTACAGGGTTTCCAAAGCTATAATCTTTATGGCGACAGACTTTCCTCCCTTGGAACAGGTAGCTGCTGAACACTTTAACCTTTGTGCCACCAGGGCTTCTACTGTCTTCTTACTACCTTGAATACTACTTTCCTCGTTTCTTGAAAGACAAAGTCTGTCATTCCACCACTAGAGAAAATACTGTATGTATATAAACAGACACGAAGTTGACTATAACTGTATCAAGAAAGTGGGTCTGGCTCTCTCTCTGTTTCATTCACTCATAAATAAATCAAAATTCTCTTGCACTACCTAAAGAATGGGAACGCATTAGAAGAGCATAATATATCGTGTCTTCCAAGTATAAGAGTTTCCAGGGTCTTAGGAACCAACAATAATGGGCAATTCTAAGGCCATGAGAATCCTTTTGTTTTGTTATACATTTCATGTATATATTTTTTTTTCTTTTGCCAGGATATGTAAAATTGAATTTTCAATATGGGCCTTCTATGCTGCAACCATACCGATTTCTCTTACCATTACTAGCAGGTTTTTGTTTTTTTTTAATAGATTATTTAAGTGTTATTTCTTGTTCTCTGAAAAATTAAGA